ATATAAAACAAATATATTTTATTTATATATGCAATCCAGTAAAGGAGATTAAACAGAGTAGGATGCCTAGTGATCTGTTACCCAGTCTCCTCCTCCTTCCTTGACTGTTCTCTTGTATGTATACAGCACATTCCCAGGTTCCGGTTTATGCAGGTATGCGTGTATGAAACGTCATTAATGGTGGTTGGTCTACATATTCATCTAATAAATAATAACTAATATTGTGTATGTAATATCAATACAGAAATGACTACTTTTAATAGAATTAACTCTTTGGCTTTTGTTCTGTTAGTGTGATTTAAACAAGCCAACAACGTTCGGAATAGGTTGTTTTTCCTTAAGAGGCATGAAAAGCATCTATTATCGTGTTACAGTGTTAAAATATTCAGTCTTCTTTGACAGAAAAACGTGTACTGTGTAGGCATTGCAGCAACAAAATAGAAAAAGTGAAAAAAATCCCACCTGCTCCACGGCATTTGACTTTTTACAGATGTTTATTGTGCCAAATATGTGCAAAGATATAATTCACTGGTTTAAAAAAGTCATCAAAGCGTCCGCTAGAGCACATAAAGAATTATTTTGTCATCGAGTGATTTCAATCTTCAGTGTTTATATTTAGATTAATTTTTATAAATGAAAATATTTTACTGGGCAAAATGAGGACTAGATGATCTATTTGATTAAGTCTGAGTGAATATTAAGCTTGCCTTGTTGTTGTTATCTGCATACTCACCAAGAACTGTCGTCAAGAGGAATTATAAAAGAGTAAAAGTGATTTATGAACAGAATGCCTTTGATTCATAAAGAAAAATCAAAAGTTGTTCTCTGTTGTTTGGATTTCTGTGCACTTTGGCCAGGAAGCCTGTCCACAGTGACCCCTCACAGCCTCTGTTGGCTGAGGTGAGGAATGCACAGTAACACGCTCGGTCCAGGGGTTTTCCATGGGGCTGTGGTGGGAGGAATCCCGTTAGGAATGTTTGATGGTGAGTCTTCTCCAAGCTCCCAAGTCTCTTGGGTGAAATAGCATCTCAAACGGCACTTCTCGGGCCAAGTTTCTGTAACTCCCTCTGGGATTGCTCCCAAAGGAAGCAAGAAGCCAACCCAGATGATCTTAGTCTAGTGTGTCCAAGGTCCCATGCAATGAATGCTCATCAAAACACTTCTTTATCAGCATATTTTCTCCACCATGAGTGTGTTCATTTAAACCTGCATGTTTTAAGTAATACTTTGTGTCAGCAGATAGTATTGTAAATAGTAGTAAATAGCAGATAGTATTATAAATAGTATTATAAATAAGCAGATAGTATTATAAATAGTAGTAAATACGCTATTATAATAAAAATCCAAAGAGAACTAAAAGGGTTAAAACACCTACAGTGATGAATTCAGCCACTGTTTCATTGTAGTAGTAATTCCAACAAGGCACAGCTAGAAATGCAGATTCATTCCAGTGTCCCTTTTGCAGAATGGTTGTGGCCTGGTTTTAACCATCAGTCATTAACTAAATTGTCAACTATCTTTTTTTGGATATAAGCCATAGATTAAACTGCATTCAAATATTATTGCTGGTAATAGATATTAATCAAGATTAAATGTACTGTAAATAAAACTTCTTATAAAATTAACATAACACGGTTAATTACCGTGGCAAACATGAGTATTGAGCCAAAGCCCCAGGCTCATAGTTGTGTGGACTAAGGTAGCAGCAGCACATGGCTTGTGATCCTCCAGGAGTGACTTTAGCTTGACCAGGTAATGTGCTTACAAACACCTGCATTGTTTTAAAGAGAATCAGCTGGTTCGGGCACTGACCCCATCTGGGTAGTGGTGCACAATTACCTGCAGTAGGCACAGAATTACTCCTCAGAGTTCAATCAGCCTGTGTTTTCTTCTCTTCAGTGGGGAGAAAATGCTTATCCTTGATAGGAGCAACTTTTTGTTCAGTGAGATACCTCTCCAGCAGTACAGGAGCAATCATGAAGTGCCAGTGGACAGTTCAGGGCAACATTCCTACAAGTGGATGTTAACAATCTATGTAAAAACTACACAGAGAGCACCAGCATTAATGCAGGTACATTAAAAATGAGAGCCTTTATTCTTTCTTCCAACCATTGCTTTTTATTTTTACATATCAAGAGCCATTTACTTTGAAATGTGACAGGAAGGTTTCATGATAGACTTAACACTGCAGAGCTTAAATCCCAGCACAAAGGCTGTGTGGGTTTTGGAAAACCTAACATTACAGTGAACAGCATCAGGAGATGGGTGGGGATGTAAGACAAAGAATAAGCTATGGTGGCACTCAGTTGTAGTGTCCATGCACTGCCTTCTACCTGCACCCTGAACATGTTTTCTCTTTGAAGGAACTTGCACAAGGAGAAGAAAGAGCAGAGTGGGATTGCTAGGCAAAAGCAGAACTGGTGTCTGAGGTGCAGGGGGAGGATGTGATTCAAAGCACAGAGGTTGGGTTGCCACCTCGGGGAACAGAGATCACCAGTCACTGTCTTGTGTGTCCAACACTTTGTGCTTCCACAAAGTGTTCAAGATGAAATCCAGGTGTCTGCTCACAGGCCTCAGGCTGTCATGGTTGCTCCTCAGCTGCCTCTTCCCAAAGCGACCGATGGGGCGCACACCACGGCCCACATACCAAAAAGGATCAATCTCAGGACCTGGAATTCAAAGCAGTCAATGAAGCATCTGCCACTGCACTTACAGGCAACATTTCCTGAGCATCTGGAGATGGCTGGATGGCTTAGCCCAAGAAAGAACACAAGGGGAAAGGCTGCAGCCAAACACACAGCTTTGGGGTGTCTTTCAGGTTTGCTTTCCATGTGTAGAGCCCAAAGGAAGAAGATTCAGATGCAGAATTAACTTTCATCTATCTGGGCTGCAGCCTGTAGATCGTAGAATCCCAGACTGGTTTGGGTTGGAAGGGACCTTAAAGCTCATCCAGTTCCAACCCCCTGCCATGGGCAGGGACACCTTCCACTAGAGCAGGTTGCTCCAAGCCCCTGTGT